ATTTTATTATATTATTTTTTTGGGACCAATTTCGGTCCGCTTATTTCAATTTCTCAATAATTATTTATATTTCTTACTGAAATATCCGGACCGATTTCGGTCCGGATAGTATAGATATACGAACCGATTATACGTCGGTCTGTATATTTGACTTATTCGTACCAGGTTTTTTCAGATCAACTATAAGGACCAATATCGGTCCGTATATATATATTCAGACCGATTTCCTATATATTCGGACCGATATTTCGGTTCGGAAATCCCATTCCTGCAGTAGTGACCAGTGCAAAAACATATACTTCCTTAGAAGACCAACAACACTAGAACCAGAGTCACCCACAGCATCCCTGTCCTTCTGTATTTGATTACTGGATCGAAAATTGGAGTGCACTAGGTTCTCTGAATGCAACCCCCGCCAGGATCCCATCCAAAATTGAAGATATGTCGAAACAAGATTTCGATCCGATGAACAGATTAGAGCTATTATTCATTTCAATTTATTAGTAGCGTACTTTTCATTCATTCTATTTTTATAAGCTCTCATGCACATAGCTAATTTAATTTTGTATATATCTTTTTGTAATTTTATGAATTACATGGCATTAAGGATATTTATGTATTTAATTGAATTCATTTGGAAACAAATATGAGAGAACAAATGTATTGTGTAAAGCTTTGTATATGATTGAATTTATAGAGTAAAATTTGTCATATACTATTGTGTTTATATTGTGTTTAATTGTGTGGTGTTTATAACAATTTTGATTTTTTTTTTTTTTTGAAAACTCATCATAAATTATAAAAACATGTTTCTAAAAAACATAAAAAAGTGTTCCATTTTTCTCTATTTCTCTCACATTATCCAGAAATTTTCTTAAAATTAATTTAAGCCAATAAAATTTTACATTTCCTTAATTAGAATTTATTCTTATCATCCTCAGATTCTTCAACCCACCCATTTCATAGTACCCATGAGTATAAGCATGCACCAAACTATGCTCTAACCCCATTACAATGAAATTATTAATTGAAGAAATAAAGGTGGTTCCATTTCTTTGAAAAGATAAAGATTGAGAGAAGCAAATGACGGAGAAGGACACTACAAAAAATGTGGGGAGAGAGAACGGAGAAAGGTGAAAACCAAAAATCAAAAGAAAACCAGAAGATGAATGGTAAAATGGCTTAATTTAATAAATAGTCTAGTAACTTTTATATGTATTTTTGTTTTGTCTATTATTTTTAGATACTTTCAAATTCATCTACTAACTTTTGCTTCTATTTCAGTTTAGTCTAATTTGTTAACTTTCTAATAACAGTTTCACTCTAATTGGTCAAGTTGATCTTCAAGTATATCTTTTATGAATTTTTACACGTCGAAATTGATTTTAAAATAAAACTAATTTTGTGAGGATGATAGGTTCCTTTTCACTATGTGAAGAATTGTAATTTTTATTACATGCTATTTCAATTTTTCCTTTTAATAATTCACCTTTATTACAGAAACCACAATTATTAACATGGTTTTATAGCTTGTATAGTTTGTCATAAACTGTTTTACTGGTTAAGATTATTCTGTTTTAATTTTGATTTAACCTTTTTGTTATTTTTCTATTAAAACTAATAAAAATTTTGTACAATACACTATTCTTAAATATTTTATAAAATTTATAGACTATTTAGAAAGAAAACTAACTTTTTAAATTAAAATGAAATTAGATTAAGATGGTCTCATCTTTCACCGGCGGCTAGGGTTAGGTTTCCTGTCCTCCGTTTGTGTAGTCGCTCGCTTCGGCCTTCCGCCCTATCTGAGGGTCTCATTCCCCTTTCTCCTTTCCGGCTTGTATCTAGTTTCTGTCATATTGCTATGTCTTCAGTTACAATCCTGGCTTGGAATTTCCGAGGCCTAGGTAACCCTTCAACACTCTCGGAACTTCAAAAAATAATCCGAACTCAGAAGCCCCAGCTTATGTTCCTATCAGAGACTAAACGAAGTACAGCAGAGATGGAGCGAATCCGTCTGAAGTGGGTTTCTCCAACTACTTTGTAGTAGATAGTGTTGGCCGTAGTGGCGGCTTGGTAGTCCTGTGGACTGAGGACGTCCAGATCCACCTCTTCACGTACTCACAATCTCATATTGATATGGAAATACTGGATCTAACAGATCTACAATGGCACTTGACTGGCTTCTATGGGCAGGTAGAAATCGGACGGTATCATGAATCTTGGGCAGTACTCAAATCACTCAAATCATCTTCTACTTTGCCTTCGTTCTGTCTTGGTGACTTTAATGAAATAACAAAGCAATCAGAAAAGATGGGTGGGAATCCTAGATCTGAACACCAAATCCAATCCTTTGGTGAAGGAATTGACTATTATGAACTCTTAGAGTTAGGGTATAAAGGACCCCATTTTACTTTTGTTCGAAAGCACCATGATAATGTCTTGAGGGAAAGGCTTGATAGAGTTCTCATGAACCGTGCATGGGAAGAACAGTTCCCAGGATCTATATCTCACCACCTTCCAACTATGCAATCCGATCATTCACCTATTCTAATAAAAGTCCAACGTAGGGTTCAACACGTTGGTAGGAAAGGTGATAGACTATTTCATTTCGAAAACTACTAGCTCAATGATGATCAGAGTGAGTCTATAGTTAGGGAAGCATGGAGCCAAGAGATGAGTGCCTCGATGATGGACCGAGTGCTAGCTAAAATTACTCGATGTGGTGTCCTGTTGTAGGATTGGAGTGCCCATAAATTTGGGAACATTCTGGAGCGTATTAAGAAATTGCAGTCTAACTTGCAGAAACTACATGATGGGAGTGCTAGTGAGTGTAGCTCGGAGCACTTAGAGGAGGTGGAGACTGAGTTATGGAACCTTCAACAGCAAGAGGAGATTTACTGGAAACAAAGTTCCAAAATCCAATGGCTCAAGGAAAGGGACAAAAATACGTCTTTTTTTCATACCAGAGCTTCTGAGCGAAGAAAGAAAAATGTTATCACTGAATTGCAGGATGAAAGGGGACAAATAGTTAGTGACCAGCGAGGACTAGAACAGATTGCTCTTCATTATTTTCAAGGCCTTTTCACTTCAGAAGCCCAAACAGATCCCTCACATATTTTGCAGCAAATACACAAACAGGTTTCCTCTACTCAAACAACGGCATTAGATAGGAGATATACAGAAGAAGAGGTGCTCTTAGCTCTCAAACAAATTCACTCTTCAAAGGCCCCTGGTCCAGATGGGATGAATGCTGGTTTCTTCAAGCAATATTGGCCTATTATTGGACAGGAAGTGACAACGGCAGTCTTGCAATTTTTGAATGATGGCATTATGGCTAATGGATTGAATAAGACTCATATTGTCTTGATTCCTAAGAAGAAGAATCCAGTCTCCATGAAGGACTTTTGTCCAATTAGTCTTTGTAATGTGCTATACAAGCTTATCTCAAAGGTCTTGGCTAATCGTTTAAAGCCTTTGTTACTGAGTATAATTTCAAAGACTCAAAGCGCTTTTGTTCCTGGAAGACTAATCTATGACAATATCATGGTAGCTCTTGAGATGGTTCATCGAATAAAGAATAAACGTCAGGAAACCAAAGGGGACATGGCCATTAAGTTAGATTTAAGTAAAGCTTTTGATAGAATAGAGTGGGATTTCTTACAGGGGGTGATGCAAGCAATAGGCCTTCCTCCGAACTGGGTGAATCGAGAATGACTTGTGTTCGAACTATCAACTACTCTATTTTAGTTAATGGTTCATTAACAAAGGAGTTTACCCCTTCGAGAGGAATTCGATAGAGGAATCCTTTATCTCCTTTTCTTCTTCTCTTTTGTGCTGAGGGTCTCTTATCTATGCTATCAAATGCTATGCAATCAAGGGCCCTACAGGGGGCTACAGTGTGCCGAGGAGGTTCAAAAATTTCTCACTTGTTCTTTGCGGATGATAGCTTGTTTTTTGGGGCGGCGACTGAGAAAGAAGCTTTTAATTTAATCACCCTTCTATAGCAATATGGAGCAGTTTCTAGGCAACAAATCAATCTAACTAAATCTTCTATCTTTTTTAGCTGCAATACGCCCAGTGAAGTACAATTAAAGGTAAAGAAGATCTTGAACATTTCGCAGGTTATGGCAGATGACAAATACTTAGGTATGCCTCTTTTAATAGGCAGGAGCAAAAGCATTTGTTTTGCTTCTCTTCGTGATCATATTTGGACAAAGATCAAGGGTTGGAAGACTAAATTGTTATCAAAGGCTGGTAGAAAAGTATTGATTAAAGCTATAGTGCAAGCCATTCCCACATACTGTATGGGGTGTTTTCACCTTCCGCAGAATTTTTTGCAATCTCCTAATAGCATCATTAGTAACTTTTGGTGTGGAGATAACTCTGATAGGCGAAAAATTCATTGGCTAAGATGGGATTTAGTGTGCCGACCTAAAAGCCTCGGTGCATTGGGGTTCAGAGATTTCCAAGCCTTTAACTTGGCTATGCCTGCGAAACAAAGCTGACCGCTCATGCAAGATCAATTTACCTTATGTTATCAAGTGCTCAAGGCTAAGTATTTTCAAAGTGGTGACTTTCTAGGAGCTAGATTAGGGACCAACCCTTCTATGGTGTGGCGAGGTGTCATGGTCGGCCTTGGAGTTTTAAAGAAGGGATCATGTTGGAAAATTGGGAATGGAGATTCTGTCTGTCTTTGGAGGGACCCTTGGGTTCCTGATTCTGGGGTGCTTTCATCTATCATCGAGGATAGAAACATTAAGTATGCACGGGTAAGCTCCCTCATGGACCATACAAAATTTCAGTGGGATCTAACTAAACTCCAGCAACTGTTTCCTAGTGACACAATGGAGAAAATTAGCAACATTCCATTGAGCAATAGATGTGCACATGATCGATTGATTTGTAGACATACTATTAATGGGAGGTTTGTAGTAAAATCAGTATACAGATTTGCGTGGGATGCCATCTATGGATCAAGCTTTAATGAATATAATGAACTGATGAAGCCGGTTTGGTCTGCTATTTGGCATATGGATACTGTGCCAAAAATCAAGCATTTTCTATGGAAATTTATCTGGGAAATCTTACCAACAAGACTGGCTTTACAGCACCGGAGAGTGGATTGTGCTAGTAATTGCTGCATATGTGATCAAGCCGAGGAATCCAATTATCATTTATTCTTTACATGTCACTGGAGCAAGCAAGTGTGGGCAGGTTCTTATCTTTTCTTTGCTCTCAACAACATCAGAAGTGAAGCTTATCTCGATGACTTCCTCAATTCCTTTCTAGCACTCAACAAGGAGCAGAAGGAACGTGTTGCCGTTACCTTATGGTGCATATGGAGTAATAGGAACAGTTGCCTATTCCAGACTAGATGCTCAAAACTAGTTTTTACTGTCAGATGGATATCCAAATGTATCAGAGAATACACTGCACCAGCAGAAACTGGTACCCAGATCAGACAGTTGGAGAACAGAATCTTACCAAATGTATGGCAACCAGCTCAGGGAGATATAATCAAGCTTAATATCGATGCTGCTGTCCCACAAAATCCGAACACAACCAACTTGGGAGTTGTTTTATAAAACAACGAAAGTAAGGTTTTAGGGGCTGTTGTACGAACCTGCAATTTTAAGGGGACAGCTCTACAAGCTAAGGTTATGGCAATAGAGTTTGCATTACAGTTAGGGAAGGAATTTGGATGCAAAAAAATTGAGATTGAATCTAACAATGTACAAGCAGTAGCTATAGCAAACTCTTCTGAAGACTATTATCTTCCTTTTGAAGCCATTGTCGAGGATCTCCGAGCCAAGAAGACTGGGTTTGATTTTCTTAGTATTAAGCATATTAAGAGAAGCTGTAATGAGTTAGCCCACAAACTAGCTCATCTTTTGCCTCCTTCGCCACCTTGAGAGGGAGTATGGGTTGATTCTTTACTTGATGCTTTATGTAACGATTCTACTTTCTGAGCAATAATACTTTTATTCATAAAAAAAATATTCAGGGCATTTATCTATCTTAGGTATAGTGATAAGAATTCGTGGCATAGAATTTTAATATTTCAAGGTTTTATATTCGATAAGAAGTTGAATTGGGTTTCAAACTCTTGAATTTTCTTTAGAAGAAACCTATTGAGTATTTATTTAAGATTTTATAAGTATTTTTAGGGAATTGATTAAAGATTTTAAAAGAATTTATTGAGGATTTTTAATGGCCCATTAAGTATTTATTCAAGATTTATTAATAATTTTAATAATTTTTATAATATATTATGATAGTAAGATTAGTGTGGAAACATCTTCTTAATTTAATCTGAGAATTTATTACATTTTAAATCAAATAAATTAGGCTGTAAAGAAATTTTAATTTTACAAAATTTTATTACAAGAGTTTAAAAGATCTATTAAACTTACTAAAATATTTATAAACTAATTA